CTCTCTCTCTCTCTCTCTCTCTCTCTCTTCGACTTTAAAGGGATAACAAGTTGATCTTTGGAATGGTGAAGAGTTTTGTTTTCTTCGCGGTACGGACTGAAATCTTATAGTAATAATCATTCTATTTAGGCCAGCCTCCGTTACAGAGGGTTAATCAGGTCCGCGGTTTACACCATTTCCTAACTATTTCTTCTCTATATCGTGCTCGCTCATCTTGTAATTATGCAGTTTTCTTCAGGCACCTGTTACATTCTCTCCCTGATGAAAGTAAAATCGATAAAAGGATTTGAGGTTCTCATGGCAGTGATTGCAAAGATGGCTGTCTTTTGAGTTGTAGTTCCGTGTAGTCTGGTGGAAGATTACCGACGTTTCAGAGGTACATTCTACCTCTATAAACAGGCTTTAGGTTAATTTTTGTTAACCTACGAGAAACCAAACGCGTCACCTCTGTTGTAGCTTACAAGCCCGATAAAAAAATAAAAATATGTGAGATTTTTAATCTGGGCAGGAAAAGAACTTGAAAGTTTCCAGCCGTGGATAACTTCCAACATTGTAAACGACAGGCGCTATTCAATGATTCAGAAAATGGATTAAACGTCAGAGCGTGAAGTGGGCAGTTGGCTATTTTGCATATCCCAGTGTAAACTGACGTCACAACCCACCTTGTGCAGTTGTCAGCAAACATTCTCAAGAACAAACATTAACGCAAGTTGTATTCATGAAGCGCATTGTTTAGTGAACAATTACCATCGTCTGCAAACACGCGTCACTAACCAATCCTCACCTAATCTAACCTAACCTGAGCTTAATTATAATATAACCCGTTAGAATGTGACTATTGCGGATGGTCGTCTGCGCAAGATGGTTCTAGTAACTAAAGTATTATAAATAATCAGCAATAAAGCAGGTTATTGGACTGGGCCCTGTTCATATACGTTCTTGGCAGATGATCCCGAAGTGGTTTGCCATTGCCTTCTTCTGTGTGTGAATGGAGTAATTGTTGGGATGCCACGGAGGAAAACTCCGTGTTGCCTAGACCACGGCCTTGCCCAACACAAGTTATAAATTCGGGCACCGCCGGGAATCGAACCCGAGACCCCGAGATTACAAGGCCAGCGTTAGATAGGGTTATATTTTAATGTTCAAATTTTACTTTACGAGAGATTTTGACGAAGGGCTTAAAAGACTTCAACACATCTCGCTGCCAGGCTCTGAACCTTATGACTTTTATTCTGTTTTTTTTTTATTTTTCAGTTTTGAGAACAAAATAAAGTCGTGAACTTCGTCAGTACCCGTGACGTCACATTTTATTATGAAGCTGGAAATAAAACATCTTGAAAATTGGGGGGTGGGGGGGGGTTGAAAAGAGGTTACGTAAACCGAGTGGAATAATTTTAGACGGAGGACGGAAGTCTGCTTAACCAGAACTTTTAACAGAACTCCAGTTAATTCTTCGCATTATGAGTAAAATATTCGTTGAGAGCCCAGTTCACTTTCTCTTATTTACGTGACGTATTTCAAAAGGCCGTGGAGCTGCTGGTTTGGATATAATTTCTTCTGAAGTAGATGCCCCGTATAGTAGAATATAACCATAATAATGGGGTCTGAAACGCGATCCCGGTGTTTGTAACCGCCCTCGGTTTGGCTGTTCTATTTTCAGACAGCGATTTGGACGAAATCCAGCAAAAGGTAAAATGTATAAAATCAACCCTTCATCACAGAACCAAGCGACCTAGATTATCTGCTTTCGAAGTTCAAAATGCCAGCAGTAAATCTGCCGACTGTTGCTTTTGACACCGGAAGCAGGAGCCACGTTTCGACCTAGTTGTGTGTTTTCGATTGTCAACGATCCATGCATACTAGGACTATTACAGACACAAAGCTAATTATAGGACTGGGTTAAATTATCAGGGAAATGGGTCGAAATTCTCGTTGAAGGGACTGGGTTAAATTATCAGGGAAATGGATCGAAATTCTCGTTAAATTAAAACGCTGCTCTGTCTAACCGAGACGCGTGAGGCCACTACGAATCCAGTGAGGTTGAGGTTCGTTGTGACGTATCAGCTGACGTCAGCAAACTGCGACTGGGGTGATATTCCATGATAACAAGCCTGAGCCTTTTCCACAGAAACAGGGGACCTCAAGGAATGTTTCTTCCTCGTAAAGAAGAGGGAATGACCTTTTTCCCACGACGATGACGGTCTCACAAACCTAATCAGACGGATAACACGAGATTAAAGCAGCAATAAGATGGAAACAGATCGGAGAGGTATACGAAACAAAACATTAGGGAAGAAACGCGTAGACTCGAGGATAATATTAAAATGGATCTCAAATAAATAAGATGGATGTGGAATATCTTTGTTTGGAACAGGATGTGGACCAATGATAGACGCTTGTAATCAAGGCAATAAACCTTCGTGCTTCTAGAGGGGGAGACTTGGTTAGGACTGAGTCAGGGGCTTGAACTTAATAGTTCTGTGTTGCGTGACCTTCGTACTCAACTAGTTCTCATCTTTACCCGAAGCACTTCATTCTGCCAGTCTGACTTCAACATCTGAGCCTGAGGTTTCATTTAAAATTCATTAGTGCTTAACAGATTATGTTCAAACGCAGAGAAAATTTCACCTTTATAATTTTTTTTAATTTTTAATTTGTGTGTATAATCCTTTATTAATCTTAAGTGGCAATGCACAAAGCTGCTTCAAAGCTAAAATTTATATTTCACTCAGTAAAATTATGAGAACTGGATAACGACACCAAAACAGAATGAATTATCTTTGTTTCTGCGAGCTTTGACTCAGACTTTTACAAAGATCGCATTCATTTCCTCCCACTGTATCTTACTATCCGCAACAGATATTTTTTTAGAACACTGTAATTCCAATTATGGTTGTCCTCTGGGTTGTAGCGCCGTGTAATTTGGTACAAGTTACCGACGTTTCAGAGGTCCTTGCTGCCTCCATCATCAGGACGATAGCCCTCTGAAACGTCGGTAGATTTCTACCAGACATCACGACGCAACAACCCAGAACACAGCCGTGAGAACCTCAAATGCTACAACTGCAATTTAGATTGCAATATGCAATGAAAAGGAGGAAATCATTTTACGTGGTATTCTTACAGAAATCAAATTAATAATCAAATCCAGCGACGTCGCCTTGAGGGTCACGCGATCACTACTGAAGACCTTTTAAACGCCTGGGCGAGAGGAAGTATCGTGCGATGCTCTGTCCGTGCCTGCAGCCGGACGCTGTCTCCCCTGACTTCATCCCGGGATTGCTTCTCTAATCACACACTCATTTAGCGGGGATTAAACTCGATATAAACAGTTTAGGAGTTGCAACCAGCAGCTGGACGCAGGTGGCGATGGCGTCCCTACATAGCCAACCGTTTGACAACTTCTTTTGTGTTTGAACTCACAATTCTAACACCAGGGACGCCTTCATTTGTCTCTTGTCCCATGCCATTTAAATCGACGAAGCAAAGTTCTTCTTCAGAATCTAACAGTCGCTAAGCTAGTCAAATTCCTTACCCTTCATGAAACCCGCAAGTTCATCACCGCATTCACTAGAGTCAAGACACAAGACCATATCATATATCAGTTTAATTCTGTCCACATCCTTAAAACTCATTTCGTTTATATTAATTTTAATATTATCCTCCTATCTAAAGAGTAATTTTATAATTATAAATTTGGTCATACGAAACTGTTTAGAAGATATCTATAGAAAAAATAAATAAAAGCTTGTATAAAGAGTATAGTACGCCACTGATATGCGGTGGTGGTTTGGGGGGGGGGGTAGAATCGAGTTCAATCTCACTTTATCGCCAAGCTGTTCATAGCCCCTGACAGAGATACAGATTCACAAAACCTTTCAAATTCACGTATGCAACGAGAACATTTCCTTTCATTCATTGAAACACACGAGTTTATTCGGATCTTCACGTACTGAAACAGCCAGCGATGTATTTTCCACCCCGAGACGTACATTCGAGAGAGAAGAAAATCCCTTCCAGCCAAAGTCGTGAGAGCTTGCACGTAATTATTAAAGTAGATCTTCTGCTCAGGATTTTGGTCCAGCGAGCAGCTAGCAGCCTTTCAGAACCTCCCAAGCAAGTGGAAAGGAAGAAGGTTCGATGCCTACGATTTGATCGCTTCGTGAGGGTTAATTTTGTCTCATTTTAAAATAAATGTTACTTTCAAAGTAACCTCCGTCCATTCAATTCATAACAGTTAATTACTTGGCTGATTGTTTCATACTTTGCTTGGTTGGAACACTTGAAAAAAAAAAAACACTTCGTAGACCTAGACATAGATGGGAGAATAATATAATAAATAAATTCATAAAATTCGGGAAATTTCATGACAAACTAAGTGACTAGCAGCTTCTCAAGAATGACTCTGCTCCATGGATTTGTCTGAGGTTGTATATTATATTGTGATGTCTATAAAAATTAGGTCCAATCGATAGTTTAATCCTGCAGACAATTTATTCACAGGGGATCGGAGATTCTCGTGGCCTGTAGGCTACAATGATTAATTATACTTTATTTCTAATACGATTCCTTCTCTTTATACATTAAGTTCCCCGTTCCGTGGATAACATTTTAATAAATTACCATATTTTTGGGGGGAAAAATATAATCCCCATTTAGAGCTGTGTAAAATTTTAGTTCAGTATCAAATGGTCACACGCGTAATGTGGAATGTAAAAAATTATCGAATCTGAACTTCAGATGTACAAAATAACCACACGTACATCACGTGGTAATGGCTGCTGCCTTGCTCTCGGTTTGAGAACGTGCATGTGATCGCAAACATTCACGGGGGAAATAATTTACCATAAATGCCAAAAAATACAGGGCGTTCGGAATTTTTCTACACAGAAGAAAACAAGGCATTCGCATACATTTGAAATTATTTACAAAAATACTAAAGTGATGTCCATGTAACTTGTAAACATTTCTCACGTATCCGTGCTACCAACCATGTTTACAACTTCGGCAGATTGCAGACCTGAAACTAAGTAACTACTGTACAGAGACTTTTTGAACACCCTGTATAAGCTGAGCTATTTTGCAGCAATGAAAACAGACGAGCATTTAACATTCTCTGTTGAAACTGCGCTTAATAAGAGAAACATACAAGGAAGTTTACTTTCCCTAACTTCTTTCATCGGAGGGAGTAACTGCTTTATAAATGCTACGTTTACAGATATCTTCTCTCCACAGGAAGTTGGTGTGTTACAGCAAATCTTTGCCACTGATTTTCAGGCCTGTTTTAAAGAGGACGAAATGTGTTTACGTCACGAGGCACACATAAATCGGGATTAGTAAACCACGTGTATAAACAGGTTCAATAAAAAGTGTGTTTCGACTCTATTTAATACGGACATTTGAAAGCAAGGCAATATTAAGAGTCTGAAGTCCACATATGTGAGCTCTGTCCTCGCAAATGTAAATGCAACACAAGCAGGTGGTACATATGGTACGTTTTCAGAAAGTGTTCCGCATTCAAGAAAGATAAACGTGTGTAATATCACCCCGTATGGCAACAGAGTTTGATATTTGAACTAAAACACACAAATTCTATGTTTATCTGTGTTTCCGCTGTCTCGTGTCTCAAACTCCATATTATTTTATAGCCACTTCGTGACATTGGACACACAAATACAAGGCATCAGAGTGGTCCCTTTTAGACTTATCGAGCGTACACTTTAAATAAACATCAAAATCTGTGTACGCCGTAAAATGTACACTCCCTGCCCCGTTACGTATATTTTTTTTAAGTCCTGTCTGCTCTAAAGTTAACGCTTCTTGAATATAAAACACACACACTCCTTACCGAGAGAGTCAACGTTATGTACGGAATTTATGTAGACTTTCTCAAAATATTTTATAGATTACTACCGAAAGCTCTCGCGTCTCGACCAGCGCGTCCTTAAAATAAACTGTATGCTTACTGAAATTATCATAATCACTTAAATTCCTTTCGCATTCCCTACATTATATTATATACTATTACGGCACCGCCTAGCGAACACTTTATGAATTAAACGTTATGCAGACGGTCATGGTTCCCAGCGACAAGGGACTGAGTGCGAGAGATTTATCTTCCGGGCCTCGCGTCTCGCAACTGTTTTAAAAGCGCTTATGGTTCATTTTTGCAGCCTGTAACCGCACGTACTACGGGGATGTGGGCAAAACGTATCAGCTGGAGCTCCACAGGCCGAGAGAAGACCGTCTACCATTCGTGTGCTACCTCACGTTCCAGGCAGCAGGAGGTGACCTCGGGGACCTCGTCCAGGTAGGCTCTAACCTCCTTGGAATAACCTATGTTCGTATCCCGTGCCGTCAGCTGTCACTGCCCACGGCAGGTGAGATATCTGAAGGGAGGAGACGTCTTCGGTGATCGAGGTGCGTGGGGCAACATCCCAGAAGACAGATAGATTTTTAAGAAAGTCTGCCACCTTTAAAAGGCACAGGTGCTCTTAAAATGAACAGGGCTTGTTAGTTAACTGAATCGCACGTTTTCCAATATCGGGTAAATCTGGGATCAGTTCATATGAAGGGGTATTGGATCGTTTCACAGAATATAAGCTTAAACGAAAGACCCCTATAAACTTAAACCGGCTACGTTTTCTTTTGTTCGCCGAAGTTTTTTTTTTGCCGATTTTCAGTCTGGGCGCTTTTAACTATCTTAAAGGAATTAAGTTTTTAAAGTTGTAAATAGGTTTTTTGAAGTCAGTACAGAAAAGAATTCGCAGAGATTCTAAAATTAAGATTCTGTGTATCGGTAACACATTGCACGTGATTTGCGAAACTGAAGCCAGTTCACACGTCTGTGTCGACAAATACAGGACACGCCGAAGTCCCAAAGTCCACGAAGCCACAAACAGAAACTGTAATATTGCAAGAATGAAACAAGGGAATTTCGAGGCAGAAATGACCTGGAACAGCTCGGCTTTCCGACCAAATAAGTATAACGAGTTAATCGTAACTTTTCCACACATGTTAATGGAAAATTGTCAACATTAAACCACGTAGAATTTCAGGTTCTGAAGGCAGCGAGTCCGAAGATGGCGCCTTGTAGACTGGTAGAGAAGTTAACCAATATTTCAGAGGTCCTTGCTGGTTCCTTCATCAGGACGATGTGTAATGACGAAGGTAGCAAGTACCTCTGAAACGTCGACAAACTGACGCTATAACCCAGACATCTTTAACATGAAAGTACGATATTTGAGCAGCCTATAGGCCGTACGGAAGACAGGCTAACCTCTGTAGTTAATAAGACAGACTTTTCTCGTTCGTGTACTTTTTTTAAGGGATTAACACAGATTGGTGGCGTCTGAGAACTAAGTTCTGATGAGAATATTTAGAACTGGAAGTTACGGGTGACTGGAGAAAATATCATAATGAGGAAGATCCTAATTTTTACTGTTTATCAAAAAAAAATTTTTAAGTGTTCTGTCTGACGACAGGTCCATATGAACAGGATCCTTCCATCCTTTTCTCGGACTGGGACCTGTTAATATACGTTCTTGGCAGATGATCCAGAAGTGGTTTGCCATCGCCTTCTTCTGTGTGTGAATGGAGTAATTGTTGGGATGCCACGGAGGAAAACTCCGTGTTGCCTAGACCACGGCCTTGCCCAACACAAGTTATAAATTCGGGCACCGCCGGGAATCGAACCCGAGACCCCCAGGATTACAAGGTCGGCGTTCTAACCGCTAGACCAATTAGGACGATAAAATAAAAAATGCGATATTGGACGGAGCACGCATGACGAGATGAGAATCGGAAAAACTGAAAGAAAGAGACACCTTTCTAGTCCTAGGTGTAGATGGGAAAATGATATTAATGTGGGTCTTAAAGAAGCGGGGAGAGAAGTAAGGACCGAATTGATCTGTCTTGGGACTGGATCGATTTGCGGGTTTTTATGAACACGACGACGAAACTTTGAGTTCCACAAGAGGCTTCTCATGAAAGACTTGGTGGGTTAGTTTATGCGTTGATGTGTGCTAATGGCGTAAGGGCAGACGCCTTTTTGCTACTGAACTTCCGGTAGATCAATCCATTCAGCGGAAACTCATGGTCCGTGTCGGCCTGACTGATAGGCGATCACAGGACAGTGAAAAGAACATCTCTCATCCGGTTATGGTACAGAAATGACGCGTTCCGACAGACGCTACGAATCGATCGGACGAGCAGACACTGCTTTCTGGGTTTCTAGAGCTACGGCAGTCCATTTAGCGACCTGACATTCATCCCGTTAAACTTTCAAAATTACTAGACAGTTTTTACGTCTCTTGTACGGACAATCTGAAACCACGGCTTTGCATTAGGTTTGCACAAATTTCAGAAACAATGCTTACAATTAGTAATTCCACTACAACAAAATCCTTCCTGAGAAACTGACTGTCGCTCAGCTCGTAAATAAATTACCCGCCTCTTATGGAAACTTCAGGTTTATTACCGTGTCCACCAGAGACCGCCAGTGAACCGTACCTTAAGCCAAATTAATTCAGTCAACATCGTCACTGTTTCCTTGAGAGCCTTAGAATTCACCAACACAGAATCGAACGAAGATCTTATTTAAATGTGATATTTTTCTCGGCGAAATCGCAAATTTAATGGTCATGAATATTTTTCAGGGGTGATTCTTAAAAACCTCATGAATACGACGCACTGATCGAATTCAGGATGTACCGCTTTGAACACTGGCGAAGGCAGGCTGTCCTGAGGAAAAATTTTCATGGTTTCCATCAGTTCCCACGGAAACAATGTTGGGACATTTTCCTTTTATGTATCCCCCGCTAAATAAAAGATAATCATCTCTGATTCGATCTGATGAAGATCACTGTAAAGAGACACGATTATTTTCGCATAGCAATTTTTTTTTGTAAGTTGGTTCGATTTGAGCGGTTTTCAACACAGTCGTAAGATTTAATATAAATAATAGCATAAAATAACTTGCATTACTGCATTTCCCTCGATCTGCAGAACGTAATATCGAAGAAACACGCACGTAAGAGAACGTGACTGGCGTGGCC